GGCCATGAAAGATGGGTGAGGGGGCCCTGCGGTGACCTTCCCTCTCTGTGCCAGCCACCTTCCAGTAGCACCAAGTCCAAGCAAGCTGCCAGGGGGCAGATGGGAGCAGAATTTTCTTGAACCCGTGAGCACCCATGAATCCCCAAGAGCACCACTGTAGTTTCCTTAACTAGGGATGGGCAGAGCCAGTGGGATGGGGGACACTCCCAGGGGAGAGAGGATATGTCCAGCTCCTCCTCCTGACCCCCGCTCAATGCATTCTGTACCAGCAGCCCTCCTGTCAGGTGTGTTTGGAGGCAGCCAGCCCACCAGAAGCTCTCAAGGCCTGGCGATTGCCCCACAGATTGCTCCAAGATAGGCTGCGGAGCCTCTCAGAACTGGATCCTCTTCGACCCTGGACTAGTCTGAGCTGAAACAGGACAGAAAGGGAGACTTGGAGGGAGATGCTCTGGGCTCCTGGCTGGCTCTGGAATGGAGCAGAGGAGTGAGCCAAAAAAAAAAAAAACGGCATCAGAGGAGGAAGATGGTGTGAGAAGGGGAAGATGGACCTGGAGAAGAGAGAAGCAGAAAAAAGAAATGCACACAGACATAGGGAGAGAGAAGCAGAGGTGTTGGGGAGTGAAAGGAGGAAGGGAGGGAGGAAGGGAGAAGAGAGGGCCAGGACGAATAGAATCACACAGAGGAGGGGGGACGGGTAGATAGAGGCAAAGGCAGAGCGCACAGCGAGAGACAGAAAACAGACTTGTGCAGAGAGTTGAATGGAGATGAGAGAAAGAACAAGAGCAGAATGGAGGCCGGCCCAGGGAACAGGAGAGGTGGAAAGACCACGGCAGACAGACAGGGAGAAAGGTTCAAAGAGATAGTGAAATAGGTGAAGGGCAGCCTGGTGACACCTGCAATCCCAGCTACTCAGGAGGTAGAGGTAGGAGGATCTCGAGTTGAAGGCCAGCCTGAGTGTTAGCAAGACCCTTTCTCAGAAATAAAACAGAAATGAAAGGACTGGGAGCATGGCTCAAGAGGTAGAGCACACTTGCTTAATCCCCAATACCCTTTCCTGCTCCCCAAAAAGAGGTAGAGCACTTACCTAGAAATAGAGGAAATGCTGAGAGAGCCGGTGAGCATCAGGAGCAGAGAAAGACAAAGAAGGGAAGAGAGAAAATAAGAGAAGAAAGACCAGGAGGGAAAAGGAGAGTGAAGGGGGACAGAGGGCAAGTGATGGCCTAGAGAGAGGGTGTGTATGAGGGGCCACAGGGGCAGAAAGGCCTTGGGGAGGCCGTGAGCTCCAACCCTCAGCCAGGGTTGGTCATTGCTGGGTCCAGCCTCTGGAGCTGTCACTGAAGTGAGTGACTTCCAGGAGAGCAGGTTGCCCTGCTCTGTAGGGAAGAGAACCCTGAGCATTCTCTCCCCCTGCTCCAATCCCTGTTACATTGTCACCCATGCCAGCTGGGCGGTCATTCACTTAATTCTCCCAATAACACACGTTACAATTGAGGAGACCAAGTCACCCAGAGAGAAAGTGAATTCCCCAAAGTTTCCCAGGTTGTAGTTGGAACTTGAACCGAGGTCTACCTACTTTGGAAAGAGACTCCACCCTGAGCCCCCTCCCCAGGCCTGTTTTCTGAGGTTTGGAGGAAGCTGGGAGTAAATAAACTTTGCCTCAGGAAATTGTTCTTCTAATGACATTGGTTCTTCTAGTGCATCAGTCAGCATACCCAGGGTTGTGATGCAGTAACAAGTGAGCCCAATTCTCAATGTTTTACTATAACAAAGGTTTGTTATTATTTTTCCATGCCACATGTTCACACAGGCTAACGGCTTAGCATGCATGGGGAATGCCAGGCGTCCTATGGCTAAGAGAATGATGAACTTAGCAACCTGCTGACCCTGAAGGCTTCTGCTAAAAAGTGGTGCAGGTCCCTGTCACACACATTTCATTGATCAAATAAGACCCAACTCCCAGCCTGCATGGTGGATTCTGGGAAGCATAAACCTTGTCTATGGAGTAATGATAAAGCTACTCAGCCGTGAGTTTTTTTTTTTTTTTCTTGTGTTTTGGTTTTTCCACCAAGAATCATCCAACTTCCTTCTCTCTCTCAATAACCACTCACAATCTTTTTCTTTTCTCTTTTTGTATTTTTTCAGGTAATAGGAATTGAAGTCAGGGCCTCACATGTGCTAACAAGAGACCTATCATTGTGCCATACCCCAAGACCTGGTTTCACAGTCTTTAACATCAGAAAATGTCTTCAATCTGACCAAACCTGAAGAAAACAACATTTTGGAAATTAATTTTTTTTTTGTTGGGACTTGGGTTTGAACTCAGGGCCTTATACTGAAGCCATGCCCCCAGCTTTTTTTTCTTTTCCTTTTTTGTGGGACTGGGGTTTTGAATTCAGGGTTTCATGCTTGCAAAGCAGGCACTCTACTGCTTGAGAACACCTCAGTCCATTTTGCTCTGGTTATTTTGAAGATGGGGTCTCTCAAACTATTTCCCCAGGTTGGCCTTAAACTTTGATCCTCCCAATCTCAGCCTCCCATGTAGCTAGGATTACAGGTGTGAGCCTCCAGTACCTGGATCCAACCATTTTTCTTTAGTTTATTTTTTCATGGAGGGTCTCACTGTTTGCTCAGGTCGGCCTTGAACAGGATCCTCCTATCTATGCCTCCTGCGTAGCTGAGATTACAGACATGTATCACCATGCTCAGATCATTTGTTGAGATGGAGTCTCACTAACTTTGCCCAAGCTAGCCTTCAAGCTGATCCACCTATCTCTGCTTCCAGAGTATCTGGGATTACAGGTACAAGCTACCAAGCCTGGCTCTAGTTGGATCTTTATGTCAAGATTGTCCACAAGGTGTAGGCCTGTAATCTTTTTTATGGCTCCCCCACAATTCCCAGCACTCTAGGAATTCCCCCTGTACCCCTGTGGCCTTTGTCTAGGCAGGATCCCCCTGCTTCCTCTTCATTTCTTCACCATTTTCCATCCTCTCTTAAAGTTCAGCTCAGACATCTAAACTGGAGAATTTTCTTTTATTATTCATATGTGCATACAAGGCTTGGATCATTTCTCCCCCCTGCCCCCACCCCCTCCCTTACCACCCACTCCGCCCCCTCCCCTCCCCCCCCCAATACCCAGCAGAAAGTATTTTGCCCTTATTTCTAATTTTGTTGTAGAGAGAGTATAAGCAATAATAGGAAGGAACAAGGGATTTTGCTGGTTGAGATAAGGATAGCTATACAGGGCATTGACTCACATTGATTTCCTGTGCGTGGGTGTTACCTTCTAGGTTAATTCTTCTTGATCTCACCTTTTCTCTAGTTCCTGGTCCCCTTCTCCTATTGGCCTCAGTTGCTTTAAACTGGAGAATTTTCTTCTAGCCCACTGGCTATTTGACCCAGCTGGGAAAGGAGCTGGATAATTTCTGTCTCAGCCCTCACATTCTCTTCATCTCAGCTCAGATTCCAGCCACAGCTCTGGCAAACCTACCCCACAGGCTTTGACCACGTTCATGAATCTCTCACCTCCCATCTTGTGCACCTCGGGGCAACCCTCAGCCAAGAGGAGGCAGGGGTCTGGGGACAAATTCTTCTCCCTTTTGTCCCTGGGGCAGATGACTAGGATATGAGTGTGGTCATCTCCATAAGCAGTCTTTCTCTTCACTCTCCCAGTCCTTCACTCTACTTCCTCCCAAATAATCCACCAGTTCCAGAATCCTGGGCCCAGACTCTGCTTTATTTTATTTCATTTTTTTGGTGGTACTTGTGTTTGAACTCAGGGCCTCATGCTTACTAGACAGGCATTCTACCACTTGAGTTACTCCACCAGCCCTGGCTTTCTCTTCTTCACATTAACTATCTTGTCTTGTTTCTGCTCACAGTTCAGTTTTCTCATCTGTCAAGTGGGTATCCCAGTTTCCTCCCAGGCTTTAGTTTCACAGCAAATGCCCTTGGCCATCTGCAGGGGTCCACTCTGGGCAGGGAGCCTGGTCTGTTTCCGATGGATGTAGCAGACTGAGGGCTGTCACTCAACATATTTTGTTACCCAAGTCTTAGGGCATCTGAAACCCTAAATGGAAAGGCTTTACTCAGTACTGATGGAGGGCCAAACAACCAGTGCTGGTCACACAAGAAGAACAGAGACCACACTTTGTGGTGAGTGGCTCGCAGTCCAGTGGGGAGATTATCACTCCAGAGTGTGACCGACAAAGGACAAAGCCTTGGATTTTTATAGAAGGAAGCAGAGAGGTCTGGCGCCATATGGAAAATAATTCTAGACTCGCTCCCCTACTTCTTGCTTCTTCATTTCTCTGGTCCTCTGCGTCTTCTTGTGAAGGGGATGGGAGGGACTGGGGCTGAGATAAGATCCAGGATCTGTGCTGGGGGTGCTGTACAACCAGGAAGAACTGGTTTCATCTTGTTGTCTTTTTAGTTTTTATAGGAGGTGGCACACAGGGTTCCACTCTTGGATTACTTATGAAACCAAAGCAATAGGAATTGGTGGCTGATTGAGTAGTGCTGGCACAAGGGACAAAAAAACAAATCGTCATTTCTTTAGGTATTGAGCACCTAATGTATGCTTTTCTGCAGTTTCCCTGGGGGTTGCCGCCTCACTGGCCTCCCCATTCCGGACAAATATGTGGCTTTTTTTTTTTTTTTGAGATGGTCTCAAATGCTGCCCACACTTGCCTCCAACTCTCCATCTTCTTGCTTCAGCCTCCTGAGTGCTAAGATTATAGGTGGGCTACTGCACTATCTTTTATCAGAACCTGCTGTGTGACTTTGGATAAATCTTCAGCTGCCTCAGTTTCCCCACTATGGTGGAGATTATGGAGTGTTGGTTTTGAGGGGCAACAGGAGTGAAAGGTTTTCTACATTTTAGAATATTAGGTAAGTCAGCACTGCCCGGCCAGGAGCCCCAGCTCCTGTGGCTACATTTGCTCCAGGGAGACATCCCAAGATCTGACTCCCCTTCCTGGCTCCGGCCTCTTGAGGTCATTAGGGGACCAAGATGCAGAGGAGGGGCTGGCCGCTGTCACAGCCCAGGTGCCCGCCTCCGCCTGGCTCCGCCCAGGCCTCGGAAAGGTGAGACCGTGGGCGGGGCTGGCTGTTGGGGGTCGGCAGGACGTGGTGACTATATTGGCCCGCCAGACCGTCCCACACCTGCCGCCCTCGATGGGTCCTCTACCTCCCTGCCCACCAATAATGCTGCTTCTGCTTCTGCTGGGACCTGGACCTGAAGCCAGCCAGGGTAAGTGAGGCACAGGCTTCCTTCAGCCCTCTGGAGGGACCTGGAGCCCTGCCTCCCCACCCCTCCAGGGCCTCCAACTCCCCAGGTCCCCAAGAGCCCTCCAACCCCCAGCCCATTCTTCGGATGCCCACTCCCCATCTTCCCAAGCACCCAGGAGCCCCGTCCCTCACTTCTCTCCAAGGTCCCTCACTCAGTCACTCCACCAGGGACAGAACTAGCCCAGCACTTCCCCTGGGAGCTCAAAGTCTTCCCTGCAAGCCCTGCCCACTCCCCATCCGCGGTTCTGGGTCCTGTGCAGGGAACATCACTCCATTAATCCCTGGGGTCTAAGGTAAGACCACCAAGCAGACCCCAGCTAGGTGTGGTGGGAGGAGCAGAGGCACAAACAGCTGGCCTTGGGGGGGTCACCCTCAGAGAGGCCCCTAGGGACTCTGCAGCATTCGCTCAGGGAATACACAGCCACCACCAGCACCAGCCTTACCTGGGCACTCAGGTACACAACTCCTTGACAGAGTCACAGAGCCCCATACTGCACCAGCAAAGATGCACTGAGGAGAGCAACCTCCCTCCCTCCACTTCGGACACCTGACACTGCCCCAGGGCAAATTCAGACTCACACTGGTCACACACATAGACCTGGGACCCATAGGATGTTCATGGGTCCTGGCACTCCCAGAGGAGGCTGCCCGCGGGTAGACAGAGCAAACAGACCCCTGCCTGACCTGCCCCACCCATGTTGGCACAAAGGGAGTGTTTTCTTTGGTTCCAAACCCAATGCTGGTGTCTGCCCTAGGCCTGGGCTCTCCATGGACGGTTCCTAGAGCTTGTGATTCCAGAGGGTTGGGGGTAGGAGTGACCTCTGTGGACAGCTTTAGGGGATGGTGTTGAGGGGGGCTAGGGTGTATATGTTCCATGGGATTTGGTGGACCCAGGTCAGTGGATCCTTCCTGGAAGTCCACCATGTACCAAGGCATCCAGAGCTGCCTAAGTCAGATCCACCCCCCAGACTGGAGGGTCACCCCCATAAGTGGACAGCCCCTGGGGCCACCTGAAGGGCCACTTGTAGGGAGCTGGGTGAGGACCGGTGACAGTATTTGCAGCAGAGCGCGTATGTGATAAGAGCTGGAGAGACAGTTGGATGCTGGGAGTGGCTTTGGGGTGCACTGGGGCCTCTGAGTTTTATCCAGAGCCTGTGGGAGCCATGGAAGGTTTGAAGCAAGTGCATGGGCTGCTGGGAGAATGGGGACCAGTCATCTGGAGTAGAAGGTGAAATTTTGAACTGTAAACTCATTTTAAATTTTTCTTCTTATTTGGAACATCACTAGTCTCCCTTCCCCCCCACTCCCTTTACTAATATTCCACTCTTTCCACTGAGAGAAACTTAATTGGGTCTAAATTTAGTGTGGACTCCTCAAAAAAAAAAATCATTGTAGACTAGGTGGAGACTAGCATTCAGGAGGCAGAGGCAGGAAGTTTGTGAGTTCAAGGCCAACCTAGGCTACAGAGCAAGTTTCAGATCAGCCTGGGTCAACTCCCTGTCTCAACTCCCTCCCCTCCTCCAAGAAAAGTCATTGTGACAAAAGTCTAAGCAAAAGAGATGAAAGGGGTGGGATGTCCCAAGGTCAGGCATGGACCTCCACTATCCTCAGTCTCTGAAGCAGTGGGGGGTGGGTTGGGGGTGGCAGATGGCCAGGAAGCAGGCCTGGGTGTGAGGTTGTGCTCTGCTGCTGATTCCTCTCAGCACTGTCACTGGCAGCTCTTGTTCCCTGCTGTGACTGGTTTGAGAGTTAGAAGCCTGGGCTGGAGCCTCAGCTGGATGGGCTGGGTGGGTGTGGGAGTCACCTTTCCTGGCAGGCCTCCTGTTTCTCAACCTGCCAAATGCAGGGTTCTGCTCACATCCATTGGGTACACTGTGTGAGAGATCTAGAGGAATGGCTGGGCTCTGGCTAAGGCATCTCCCTGGCTAGGAGGAAGCTGGGCCCTGAGCCAGAGTGCGGGGTTCAGGGACTGGGAAGTCCCCAGAGGAGCTCTTCCTTTAGTTCATCTCTGCTGCCCAATGTCCAGCACAGAAGAAACATTTGATGCTTGCTTGTAGTCAGTGTCTAGAGTTGACAAGGGCAGGGGACTGAGAACCATTGTCTTCCAGTAAGAGGTGCCAGCCATGCAAAGGCTCGTGGTGTGAACTCTCCCCAGCTGTGGTCTGAGACTCATTTTTCCTTTCATGGCTACTTTGAAAATATCTGTTGTAACACAGTAGACCCTTGGTGGGTCTGTGGTTCCAAGAAAACCTTCATTGAGGAAAACCCGAGTGTGCTCAGGATGCATAGGGTTCATTGCTGTACTGTGGAGGCTTGATTCATTTTCCCATAACGTCTGCTAAAGACACACCACCTTTAAACAAATCTCGAATTGTCACTTTACCACTTCAATCAAAGACATTCACTTTTACTTTGCTTTCTGGGAGGCAGATTTTCACAAAATTAAGTGTAAGGAAACACTGAGCGGATCACACAATTTAAACACAGCAGACAACATGGGACTGAGCTTTGAGCTTCTTCACATCCACTGATTTGCCTGTGGGAATTTAAATTTTTTGTTTTTGAAATTTCTTTTAATTTAAAAAAATTCATTATTATTATTATTATTTCTTACTGGTCTTGGTCAAAATCACAGGTAATAAATCTGAGGAAGGTGGGCTTCCTGTGGATAGAACTTTTTTTTTTTTTTGGCAGCACTGGGGCTTGAACTCAGGGCCTCACACATTTGCTAGGCAGGCCCTCTTACCACTTGAGTTACTCCAGCAGCCCTTACTTTGTGATGGGTTTCTTTTTCAAGATAGGGGCTTGCAAACTATTTGCATGGGGCTGGCTTTGAGCCACAATCCTGATCTCTGCCTCCTGAGTAGCTGGGACTACAGGCGTGAGCTGCTGGCACCTTACTTGGATAGAACTTGTTATGCTGTCAGGTGCTTTGGTGCTGTGCCTTCTGTGCAAAGAAACAAAGGCACAGAGAGGTTCTTAATTTTCCCCAAGCTCACACAGCTAGTGAGATTACAACTCAGACAGACTACAACATCCTGGCCCTTTTCAGGCCAGGGAAATCCTAACCTTGCACCCTCTGGTCTTTGTTTACTTTTCAGTCCCCAGGAGGCCACATGTGTACAGACGTGGGATCCTGGAACTGGCGGGGACCGTGGGTTGTGTCGGATCCCGTTCACCCATAGCTTACATGAATTATGGCTGCTTTTGTGGTCTGGGTGGCAGCGGCCAGCCTCGTGATGACGTTGACTGGTGAGTGCATGCTTGCATCCAGACTAGAAGGTCCCCCACTCCCTGGGGCAGTCAAGACACATGAGAAAAAAAACCACAATCTGAAGTTGGGATTTGATCCAGGAAGATCCCAGAACCTGGCCGGGTGTGGTGATCATGTGTGTAATCCCAGCTACTCAGGAAGGCAGAGGTAGGAGGATTATGGTTCAAGGCCAGCCTGGGCAAAGTAAGCAAGACAAACAAACTGAAAGCAAAAGATATGGGGTGGGTAGCTCAAGTGGTAGAGCACTTGCCTAACAAACTCAAGGCTCTGAGTTTCAATCCCTGCCACCTCTGGAGGCAGAGAGCCTCTGGTCTCACAGGGTCAAGGAAGACAGACCTTGGTACCAGGTGACCGTTGACCTGGCCAAGGACTGATGCAACTGCCTGAAAAATGACATAAAGATAACCAGACTTACAATGTACCAGGCACTGTCTGAGGAGCTCTATGAGTTGCACTTGCTGCTGGCCGTGGGCTCCCCAACTCTGGTCATCTGGTTCCCACACATCTTTTGGAGGCAGCTCAGGCATTGCTGCCTCCAGGAGCCTTCTCTGAGCCTACCTGGCCTCTTACCTCCTCCAGGCTCCCAGAGTCCCTCTGCCCACCTGGTAGTCCTGTTCTTTCTGTCTCTTTTGGCAATATTGAGGTTTGAACCTAGGACTTCACATTTGCTAGGCAGGTGCTTTACCACTTGAGCATGTGTCTGGCAGGCTGGGGACTTCCTGAGCGTTGGGCAGGGGCTGGCTGACCGCCCTGTGCCAAACTCTGCTGAGGGCTTGGCAGATTGGGACTGATGGATGGATGGAGAAAATGCCAGAGAATGAATGGATGAATGAACGAATGGATGACAGGTGTGAGGGCACTCGAGGGTGTTCCTGAGTGAACTGTTTAACAGTAAATGTTTACTGAAGTCCTATTACATAGTCAGTGTTGGGCTGGGCCCTGGGGACACTGAGGAATAGGACAGATACGGTCCTGCCCTCACAGAGCTCTGATAATCAGACAGATGTTAATGAGGTTTTATAATGAGGGTTTCATTACCAACCTGCCCTGGAGGGAGAGAACCTGGGTTTTATGACAGGGTGTGACAAGAAGACTGTCATAGCTTGAGACATAGGAGGAGGCCTGGGCGAGACTTAAAGGATAAGAGTGAGTATGAAGTTGTCCCTGGCAGAGGCTATAAAGTGGACATAGTCAGGTGCCCTGAGGCAGCTGGGGACCAGGCTTAGGCATGGAGGAGGATGGAGACTATAGGGATGGGGGTACCAGTGGAGCTCTTGGCCAGGACTGTGATTGTCAGGGACAAAGCCTTAGCCAGAGGTCACTGGCTCCTTGGGGGTCTTCACTCACCCAGCCCGGATGAAGGAAGATAGTCAGGAGAGCTCCCTGCCTTTGCCCAGCTGTTGCTCTGCCCACGCAGGTGCTGCCGTCGTCACGACTGCTGCTACTTCCGAGCTGAAGAGGCCGGTTGCAGCCCCAAGACGGAGCGCTACTCCTGGCAGTGTGTCAACCAGACCATCCAGTGTGGTGAGTACCAGTGCCACACATGCCACTTCCCCAAGTGTCCCTGGGCAGCCAGGAAGTTTCAAGTGACTTCTGTGCTCTCGTAATAACATATTGATTCTTCCAACTCTGCATGGCCCACCCCTTGGGTTTGTCTAATATAAGTAATCTTTCATACTGAGCGTCTGAATACACACACAACCAAAGAAACACATTTCTTAGGTGTCTGGACAAAAAAGGAAAAGATAGAAAGGACACCAGGTATAAACAACCTAGAAGTCAATCGGATGTGGTGGCACACACTTATAATCTCAGCTACTTGGGAGGCAGAGGTAGGGTGATTTTGGTTAGAGGCTAGCTTGAGCAAGTTAGCAAGACCCTATCTGAAAAACAAAACTAAAAGCAAAAGGACTTAGGATGAGACTCAAGTGGTAGAGCACTTGCCTAGCAAGTGTGAGGTTCTGAGTTCAATTACCAGTACTACAAGCAAACCTAGATGTCCGTCAGAAAGGAACTGGATGTGCTCAAACTGTGGAATATTCTGCAACCCAGAGAAAGGATAACGTAGAACTACAGGCTGATTGGAAAACTGTTGAGTGAAAAACTGCAGATTGACTTTTCCAGTACAGGGCTACTTGTGTTTAAAAACAACAAAAGAAATGTGCAAAATGGTACCTTTCTAGTTCCCACAGCTAAGTGTAGTCATATACAAAGCTCAGAAAAAGCACATGCAGGTAATCCCAGCACTTGGGAGGCTGAGGCAGGAGGATCACAAGTTCGAGGTCAGCCTGGGCTATGTAGTGAGACTCTGTCTCAAAAAAACAAACAATAACAAAAAAAGTTAAGTGGCTCTCAAGGTAACCTTACTGATTTTTAGGTAAAGCAATGAAAAAAGGAGTGGGATATTTATTTTATTTTTATTTTTATTTCTTGGCACTGGGCCACAGGCACTCGCTCAGGGTAGCTTCGAACTCACTATCCTCCTGCCTCAGCCTCCTGAGTGCTGAGATTACAAGTGTGACCCGCCAAGCTCAGGAGTGAGATATTTATTTTTATGACTAACTGGTGGCCTGGGGATGTAGCTCAATGATAGAGCCCTTCTCTAGCATGTGTGAGGCCCTGGGTTCATTCCCAGAACCACAAACAACAACAACAACAAACACCTCACTATCTGGTACTTGCCCAAAATTGGTTCCTCTCAAATTTAAAGTCAGAATCAATTTTAAAAACTAGAAAATGAGTAATTGTGCAGCCAGACTGTAAGGTTAGAAATGAATCAGACATCACATTTTTTTTTTTTTTTAGAATAAGTACAACATAAAATTTGTCATTTTGGTCAGGCTGAGGTTGTAGCTCAGTGAGCAAGACCCTGGGTTTGATCCCCAGCACTGAAAAGAAATCATCCTTTCAAGTGTACAAGGCAGTGATATTTAGTGTAGTCACTGTGTCATCCAACCACCACACAGACATTTTCAACAACCTTCTCAAAAGACTCATTCCTGCTAAGCAGCCAGTCCCTGGTCGCCTCATCCCTCCTGGCCCCCAGCACCTGGCAGCCCTGCCATTTTGACTCATACTTCTACGGACTTAACTAGTCTAGATCTTTCCTATAGTAGAATTATACAGCATGTGGTCTTTTCCGTGGGGCTTGAACTCAGAGCTTTGCATGTGCAAAGCCAGTGCTCTACCACTTGAGCTGCACCTCCAGTCCATTTTGCTCTGGTTATTTTGAAGATGGGGTCTTGGGACTATTTCCCCCAGGGCTGGCCTCAAACTGCGAGATCCTACCAGACCTTAGCCTCCTATGTAGCTAGGAGTACAGGCATGAGCCACCCATGCCTAGCAGCAACATGTGGTCTTTTGTGTCTGGCTTCTTTCACTTAGTGTCATGATTTTGAAGTTCATATATATTGCTGGTATGTGTTGGTACTAAGTTCCTTTTATGACCAAATTATATTCCATTGTATGGAATTGACACATTTTGTTTATCTTGTCTCCTCCTCCTCCTCCTCCTTCTTCTTCATCCACTACTGGGGTTTGAACTCAGGGCTCTAGTAGTTGAACCATGCCTCCAGTCCTAGAGTTAATTTTTATATATGGAGTGAGGTAGGGATCTATAACTTCATTCTTTGGCACATCGTTATCTAGCTGTCCAAGCACCATTTGTTGATGAAGCTGCTGTTTCTCTCTTGAATATCCTTAGCACCTTTGTTGAAAATCACTGGGTCTTAGATGGGTGAGGGTTCCATCACCTGGAGCTGTTGATGACTTGTCTGAGCTTCAGTTTTCTTACCTGGAATTTGAGTGTTGCAAAGATGAAAAAAGGATTTGTAACATGATAAACAGATTGAACAGGGATTCTTCTCTCCTTTCTCTTCTCCTCCTTCTCTCTTTTCTCTCCAGTGGGACTGCCCACTAAAACCTGAGCTTCTAGAGCCTCGGTCTGCCCTAGAGGCAGGGAGGCCGTAAGGAGGGTCTTCAGGAGGATGATTTAGATGCCCACTGATTCTCAGCCATGTCTCCTTAGTATGAATGAGCAGCTGGTACAAGTGCAAACCTGAATTACATGCAGACATTCTATTTGTTTTTAGGACTGAATGCATCCAAGGTATCATCTTAGAGTTAGGGAAACTGAGGCCCAGGGGGAGGAGGTAACTTGTCCCTAAACTGCTCCTTGCCAGCATGAGAGGTGACATGAGGTCTGGCAGGGAGATCTGTCAAAGCTCCTTCCTTCTCCCTTTAATTTGCATTTCTGCTTGCTCCTACCCATGTGAAAATGGTGTTTGTGAAATATTTATTGATGTGTTTGCTGGTGGAGTTGGTGCTTGTTTACGGAGCTGTCCACCCTGAACCAAATGAAAAGAACCAAAATATCTATTATGCATTTTTTGACTAAAAATATTCTCTTATTCTGTTTGGAGATATTCTGAACATGGTTGTTTATTTAATTACAGGTTTGGCCTATTTTCCATTTATGGGCCTGACAAATATATTAAAAAATTTAAAGCCTATAATAATATTTACTAGCAGGCTTTAATTTTAACCTTAACCTGAGTGAGCTATTTTTCCCTTTTCTGTGTGTGAGACAGGGTCTCACCCTGGAGCCCAGGGTGGTCTTGAACCCTTGATCCTCCTGCCTCAGCCTCCCAAGTGCTGGGATCACAGGCAGTTTTATTCTTCTTTTTTTTCCCTTTTTTTTTCTTTTATTATTCATATGTGCATACAAGGCTTGGTTCGTTTCTCCCCCCTGCCCCCACCCCCTCCCTTACCACGCACTCCACCCCCTCCCTCTCCCCCCCACCCCCAGTTTTATTCTTCTTGAACAATGAGGTTCCTTTGGGTTCTTGAGACCAGAGTAGTGGGCCCAAGTCTCACTTTCAAAAGAATCTTTTTTGCTCGGGGGAGGGGGGGATCTCCATGAATCAGGAGATCCCGGGCTAGAAACTTGGTCCACTCCTTCCCAGCTCTGTGACCTTGGGTGAGTTTTGAATCCCTCTCAGCCCCACTTTTCTTATCAGTAAAATTGGAATTATAACACACAGTTGTTGGGGGTTTGTGTGAGCCTTGGAAATAATGTAGGGCTTTGGTGTATTCTCTCAACAAATATTACCGAGAATCTACTCTGTGTCAGGCTCCATGAGAGGTTTTTGCAAGACAGAGCAGAAAGGCCTTAGAGTATAGAAGGAGGACACAGGTAGTAGGACTGTGGCTCAGTGGTAGAATGTTTGCTTAGCATGTGTGAGGTCCTGGGTTCAATCACCAGCACCATAAATAAATAAAGAGAATGGGGGGAAGAAAATAGTGCATATGTCAGATGCTTTTATAAGCCCTATGCCAAAGGAAACTGTCAACTCTCCCCCACCAAAAAACAAAAAAGAACCAGGTACAAAAGGTCATATGACTCCATTTGTGTGAAATGTCCAGAATAAGCAAATCCATACAAGTAGAAAGCAGGTTAGTGGTCACCAGAGACTTAAGAGAGGGGGGATAAGGAGTGACCGCTTAGGGTACCAGGTTTCTGTCGGGTGATAAAATGTTTTAGAATTAGGTGATGTACAGTGCGGCAGTTGTACTGAACGCTGTGGATCTGTACACTTTAAAATTTTTTAAATGGTAAATTATTTGTTGTTGGAATTTTGCCTTGGCTTGAAAAAAGCAGGGATTCAGGTGAAGGAGCCTCATTATAGAGAATGATCAGGTATGAGAGAAGGTCTCATTAATGAGATGCCACTGAAGCAGAGACCTGGGGAGGAGAGGAGAGGTAGTGGAAAGAGTGTGGGCAAAGGTCCTGAGGTAGGCATGAATGCCTTTGAAGTCTGAGGAACGTGAAAAGGATGCGTGTTAGACTTTCCATCCCTGTGACAAATACCTGATAGAAGCAATTTAAAAGAAGGAAAAATTTATTTTGGCTTGTGGTTTCAATATGGTTGGCTGGCTCCATTTTTTCTGGGCCTGTGGTGAGGCAGAACATCAGGGGAGAAGGGCATGGTGAAGCAGAGCAGCTCACATCATGGCAGCCAGGAAGCAGAGAGAAAGGAAGGGTCCCTGGATGAGAGAGAGCCCTAAGTACACACGGCTGGTAACCTACTTCCTCTAACTAGGCCCTCCTCCAAAAGTTTTCACCACCTTCCAATAACGGCATTAAATGAATCCGTCAGTTGATGAATCCGTTGATGAAGGCAGAGCTGTCGTGGCCTAGTCACCTCTCAATGATTGGATCCACCACTTGGGGACCAAACCTTCAACACATAAGCTTTGTGGGGGACTTCATGTTCAAACCATAACAGACTGTGGCCGGAGCAGTCACTGAGAGTAGGAGTGAGTGATGGGGCTCTGGAGGTTTTCCTCTGAGCGAGGGGACCCAGGAGGGCTTTGGAACGAAGGGGACGTGGTCTGACTTGCACTTTAGGCAAACCACTCCTGCTGTGCCATGGACCATATCTGGGAAGAGCAAGAGAGGAAGTGGGTACTGGGAATAACACTGTTGCAGTGCTTTTGTGACAGGTGGCTTGGGCAGGTGGTGG